GACAGGTTTGCTTGCTTTCAGTGGTAAAATTAGCGAGGACATGGCAACCAAAGTTTCGTAGCTTCCATAGCTTGAGAGTCTTTGTAAAGTGAACATTTACATTTTTTGTGACTTTAAACAATGTTATTCAGTAAAATCCACACTAAAATGTGTTCTTCAATGGGTATAAAAACTAGGGAAAAAAAACTGCCCTTTGGCCAAGAAAGGCTGATTTCTTTGATTCCATTATTTTGATGAGCTCCTGATTTCACAACGGTGCCTCTTTATTGATAGACATTAAATTCGATTATTTTGGTGGTGAACGACATGATTTCTTTTCATTCACAACTCCAAAATGCCGCCTCGAAAAAGAAGTTTATTGAAGCATAGCTTTTCGTGTGCGGCCTCACCTCCGTCTGGTTCTATGTCTCACTTTGATTACCCTGTCAAGAATGTCAGCCTTCGACACTGTCACCAAGTGCCAGATCAACAACAAACATCGCCGACCATGGTTCTTCATTTATTCCTTTGCCCGGATGCACTAAAAAAAGCGATAATTATCATTATTTCTTATTCTGATCTTTCCCCGTCGTCCAGCTGTTTAGGCTGTCCATGTAGGTTGATCTTGGTCCACCTCTTCTCCGTTTACCTTTAGTTTTGTCTACACAAGAGTTTTAAATGTTCAAGGGCTTTATGTCAATTCACGTGTCCTGGAAACTGCATTAACTTGGCTTTTCCTCATATTCGTACATTACCCGACTCGTTGTTGGCCCAGCAGGTGGGAGACTTTGGCTCCAGCTGTTACGAGCAGCAGCAGAAGTACCACTACATCCAGTCGCGGTACTACCGTGCGCCGGAGGTCATGCTGGGACTGCGCTATGGACCGGCCATAGACATGTGGAGCTTCGGCTGTGTGCTGGGGGAACTGGCCACGGGGGCGCCGATATTTGTGGTGAGAAAAGATGACCTCAATGAGGTTATACGGTACAACACGGATATGTCGATCCCAGAAAACTCGAAATCACGCATTTGTCGAACTGTGACTGCAGTCCCGGGGTTTTTTTTTCGTCGACCTTCTTCATCTTTGTAAGATATCCCGTGAACTACAGATCCCTCGACTACCGAGGCCGGTCCTGACAATTTCGATCTATCCGTGTTATACTGTATTTAGTACTAGAGTGCGTGGCAGGGATGTCCCCCACGTAAACGAACGGCGGGGGAGGGGGGGGTGCGTGTGCATACTGTGAGACGTTAAACCTAAGGGGCAAGACATGGGCAGTTCAACAGACGGGTGAGTACTTTTTCAGAATCACGTGGAAACGTCTAGGTAGTTTTAGGAGGGAATCTACAAGCTTGCACTGAATTATGGGGGCGGGGTGGTGTTAATATACTAGAGCTCGTGGGGGGCGGGGTGGGGGCTTAGACTGTTCATGTCAATGGGGATACGCCAACCATGAGGATGAAGGAAAGAGGGCCCCCATGTCTGACACGTGTGACGTCACTTCTGCAAGCTCTAGTATTATATTATAACCTCTTTGGATGAGATATGATTGTCCAGATGTTGGTGTATTTGTTTGGCGTTTCACTACATACAAACACGCACGTGCACAAACATAATATGAGCGCGCGCGCACACACACACACACACACACA